CCTGCCTATGCAGGGGGTCGGACTCGATGATCTATTGAGGTCCCTTCCAACCCTAGCATCTATGAATCTATGACACGCATGATAAAATTGCTGCAAAGTTCCCTTTTGATCACAAGGTCTTTTTTACTGTGCATATTAAGAGGAAAAAAAACAACCACAAATAAGTTTTTTTCCACTATAAAAACCTAAGATATTGTGTAGCCCATGTATATTTGACTTTATTTTAAGGATGTGAAACTCATCAGATGCAAGTTAAGTATAAAATGCGACCTATTATAAGTACCGTGTCGGGAACTGTGCAGAGGTAGGAACTAGTTTTGCTTCAAAAGATGTGTAGTGCAGTTTCTCATGAATGAGCTGAATAAAACACTAATTGCATGTAGTGATGAGAGCCATAAGAGTACCTAGACCTTATCTTAGTTTGTGCGTGTAACATGACTTGTTTGTCATAGGGGGGCTGTTTCAGGCCCCAGATGCTGCAATATCTTGGAAAGGTGGGAGAGGCAATGACAATTCGCCAAGGGCCACAAACTCTTTTAGGCGTAGGCATTTAAGGGCCAAAGCACAGTCCTGTTCCACCCAGCTTGAGTTCCTGTGTGGATTGTCATCCTCCTCCCCTAGCTAGTTCTGGGGACTGAGTCTTAGCATCACCGTGGAGGTTTGTTACACGAGTAGGCACAATAAAGGTTTTCAGAGACTCAAACAGGATGAATGCCTGCTTGCTACTTACACTCCTATTAAATAGAATAGGATCTGGCCCTAAAATATATATAGGTCATTATAGTCACCCTGCTACTTTAACATATTTGTGACAAACCAACTTCATAATGAATGAGGAGGTAATGGGATGGTGTCATTGCTTCCTGAAGTGAGTACCATCCATCCGTTTTGTGCACCGAGGCAGGGGATCTGTGGAAAAACAGGATGTGTGCACACAAAGGGGCTGAATTACTGCTCTATGGGCAACCTTAATTCTGTCATTTATGAATGCTTGCTTGACTGCAAACTTCTAACATTCCTTTAGTGAATCATTGCAGGAGATTTTGTAGACGGTTAAGAACAAACCAGGGGGGGACTTCCACCACGGTATTACTTGTACCCACAGTGGATCACCAATAAGGTTGGACCCTTTGGATCTTTTCCTGGTTGTGAGTGGAATAAATTATAGTAGGTTGTTATCCTCTCTGGACCAGCACCAGAAGGGGATGGGATGCTGCCAGGGGGTCTCACAGAAACCTGATGACAGCAGGGCGATGGTAAGATTTTGGGTTGCTTGGAGGGAAGAGTGCTCTGGTGATTGCAGACTCACCTGCTCTGTCCCCTCCAGCCTGTTTGTGTCCCACCACAACCACCTCCTGCCTGGGTCCCAGTCTCCTCCCTGCAGGGTCTGATCCCAATCCTGTTCTCCGTCTCTAGTCACTCTTCATTCCCTGCGCAGCGCTCTGAGCTGTGTTCAGTCTCCAGTACCTCTGTGGTACCCCCTCTCGTTATCCCCCCCTTCTTGTCCAATCTCCGTGTCCTGTGCTGGCTCCTTGTCTCATCTCGCTGAGGGCACGGGAGAGTTCCAGGAGGAAAGCTGTTTTTACCCATCTTGGCACTGGGCTAAAACATGCTCAGTGCTGTGCAGGGGATTGCATGTGCATAGGTTGGCTTGTGCTAGCTACCCGCACAATTGGCATGAAACCTTCAGAGATTTGACTGACCTGTTAAGCTCTTGCTAGTCCATATTGATGATGCCAACTGATTCATTTTTTTTTAAAGGCTTAAACTATGCCAGACTGGTTGGCTTTTCACAGGGATGCCAGAAGCACATCCCTGAAACTAAGGCTGCTCTTTTGATTCATTTTAGGGCCTTCTTGGAAATACAGGAGACAAAATTTGCCAGAATCCTTCCCCCCCCAACATTACAAGTAGTTGTTGTTTCTGGGCTCATTCTGGGAAGCAGCTGGATTGTGCTTGCTAAGGTTTTCTAAAAAAAGTTCAGTCTGAGGCGTTAGTCCAAATGGTTCAAGTTTGCCAAAGTCTTGTAAGCAAGTGTAAATGCGATGTTTAGTTTGGGAAGTGCCAGGTAAACTTCCTCGGTGGTCCTGCCAGGACAGTCTTCTGGGGTTGTAGTGTGAAAATAACTTGAAGCAAGAAATGATTTTGTCTGGGGGGTGGGTTTCTATTTATTTCTCTAAGGCAGTTGCTTTTTAGACTTGTTGGATGTTGCATATTCTTTCTGAAGTCTTTAGGTTTGGGTTTTTTGTTTCTTAAATCACCATCAAGCAGAGAGATGATCACAGCAGTTCCTACAATGTTTGGCTTGATTTGTTGCTGTTAAGGATAGTTGGATATTGTGAATCTTGTTTGCAGTGAAGAAGATGCTTTTTAAGTCAGTCGTCCAGGGGTAGATGTACAAAACTTTCCGCCTGGGAAGGTTAGTTGTTCTCTGGCTCTTCCTCCCTGTCGGAATAGCCTTTTGGTTGTTAAACTGAATAAAGAACTTGATTACATGCTGAAGTTCTGGTTGGTGATCCATGCCCTTGAATGACCAGGATTTTTTTCTCAAATCTGTGCCCAGCTAGGGGAGCTAATAAATAGCCTTTGGAAAGGATCCTGTGGTTTAGTGCCTGGTGTGGTAGGAACAGTCTTTCAAAGCGTGCAGAGAAGAGGGTGTTAGTCCAATAATCCATAAATCAGGCTCTAATTCAGCAGTTCTCAAACTTCTTCCAGTCAGGAGGCCGCTCTATCAGATTACTTCATGCAGCTTCTTACACGCAGCTGTTGTTTTTTGCTCCCACAGTTAACAGGGGATAGGGATTTACCGTGCCTCAGCTGCGCTTTGTGCCTGCGGTTACACTAGTACAAGGGTGAGCAATTATTTAGGGTGGAGGGCCGCTTACCCAGTTTCGGCAAGCTGTTGAGGGCCACATGGCCTCACAGGTCGAATCTGGCCCACGGGCTGTATTTTGCCCACCCCTGCACTAGCGCCAGTGAGAAGTGAAGTGAAGCCACTTAGCTTACCTCTGGAAGAAGCGGGCTGCCTTGGTTGCCTCTTGCAGTGGGGTAGTGTGGCCCAGGGGCAGTTACCCCAGAATAGCTGAGGCATTGCAAAATCCTCCCCCCTGTAATTGCTGGCACATAATTGCAAGCTCAGTACTTTGATGCAATCCCAGTTGAGGCAGTGACCCTTTGCCACACTCGTTGCTGCTGGCTCCCTGAGCATGGCTGAGTGACGCTGGGAGGCAACGCTGTTCCAGGGCCCTAGAACAGCTGGGAAGCATGCGTTCCCTTTCACAGGAGTGTCTCATTGAAGTGCCTGCTCCCAAGTTTTCCACTGCTCTAGTACATGGAAGGAGCTGGCCAGAACTGTTCCTCCCTCGTGTGGCTGCTGTGTGTGATAATAAGAGGAAAAGAATAACTTGGAGCAGTCTGGCATGCTTTGCATGCATTGAAGGCACAATACCTGGATCCGGTCAGATTTAAAATGTTGTCGGCCAGGATGGGTGCAGAGATCATAGCTTTAAATATGAAACGAGGCAAGAAGCTGCTCTGGCAGAACTTTCAGAGGCTGTGATCCTAACAAGAGCGGAGCAATGTTCTCAAGCTCCAGCAGTGTTGTGTATCCTCCTTAATGCCACCCGGTGTTGGGAGTTGGCAGCCCCTGCAGATACAGGCGCTAGCCCTGTGTGCACCTTCCTGAACGGAAAGCAGTGTTGCGGTGGTAAGAACAGGCTGCTTGTAAGCTAGCGAGCTCTGCCTCAGCAAAGTTGATTAGCCCATCCACAGGGGTGCAAGCTCCCAGTTGAGAGCCACTGCTGTGGTTTCTTACAGATCTTCATACTTGGCAAACGGCCCTTAGCAGCTTTAGTTAGATCACCAGCACAGTGACAGGTTTTAAATAGCATGATGCTCTTTTGATTTATTTGGCCATTGAGGCCCATAAGGTGGATGCTAATCATAGCACTACCAGTGCTCTTGTCAGATGTAACCTCATGGGCTACGGTTTTCCTTGGTGTTCTGGTGGGGAAACTGAGCTTACTTTAGTTTGCACTCTTGTTTATTGGTGTTCTGGCTTGGGGCCACAAGCACGTTCCTTTGAGTTGAGACATTGGAGGAGATCTTGCTGAATGAGTTGTACCCTTGAGCAGAAACTCGCTCTGAGCATGTTTCAAACGTTTGTTTTCAGTGTTGACAGTCATGAGTCTCTTTAGCATGGCAGGGAAGCCAAGTAGCGTCTGCAGGCTGAATTTTACCTGATGTAATATATTGCTTGCAAAGGGGCAGCTTTTGCTGCCAAAGGGTTGTTAGACACATGTCTTCTGTGTTTTTTGTAATGGAAGCACTGTGCAAGTCCTCACATCATGTTCAAAGGCATCTCCTGTCCACTGACCAGAGCTCTGTCAAAATGTATCTGCTCTCCCCCCTCCCCTCCACCTCCAAGTTCAAGCATGTCGCCTGAGTAATATACAACATTGAAAGCATCTGTCGTGTACCTGGAACAGCCTGAATGGTGTCACCAAATCCTGAAAGTGCCTGTGAGCAACCAAAGCCGCCTTATTATTCATCTGAAGTGCACCCAGTCACCAGGATGCTAGCCTGGGATTTGGGAAACGTAGTTAGATACTGCATGAATGGGGCTGCATAGATGCTGACGGTTGCCATAGGTCCTAACTACAGTAGTTGTCACTTAGTGGGTTATGATGTGTTGTTACCAGGTTTCTGATGATTTTTCACCGTTGAAATCATGTGTTAAGCATATGAGTTTATGCCTGCTGGATTCAGTTCTGCCCTTTTGTCTTTGCAGTGAGTACCGTGTAGTCTGGTAGCTCTCAAAGATGGTGAAGCTGGATATTCACACTTTGGCGCATCACCTCAAGCAGGAGCGACTCTACGTAAACTCAGAAAAGCAACTTATACAGAGACTCAATGCTGACGTATTGAAAACTGCTGAAAAACTGTACCGCACAGCATGGATTTCCAAGCAGCAGAGGATTAACTTGGACAGACTTATCATAACAAGGTGACAAATGCTTTGTGAAAAATTGATCTCCTGAGCTCTTGTGAATCCTGAGACCTCCACTGTACTTCTCAAACTTTGTGTGTTGCCTGCTCAAGGTGATTGCGATGACAGAACTGCCAATGGCTTTAAAGCCTTGCCTCAGTCTGTGTTGCCTCAAGTTTGCTTTTAAATGTGACATGGCCGTTGGTAGCTCAAGTGGTCTTTGCACAGGGTTGGACACAGGTACACTTTGGAGCAGTTTCAGAGGGGGAGAGGGTTTCAAAAGGGCAGGAGCTGTAGCTGTCTAATTGTTACCTGTGGACAAGCCAGGAGGCAGGCACATGTAGCAAAACCATCTCCATTGTACCTGGGCAGGAGGCAGGGTTAAAGCTGCACCATTTGTGCTATGCTTGTTTTGCTCCTGGCTCCCTTTTGGAAACTGCTCCAAATGTGCGCGTCCATTCCCTATAGGCAGGCTGCATGTCTTCTGATTTTGAATTTATAGGAACAAGCCTTGAATTTAGCTGTAGTTCCTGCATTTACCAGTTTCTCAATTTAATGGATGCCATACCTTGTCCAGCAGGCTACCACTCCTGCGGATGGGGTTAGAAAGCCGCATTGTTCAGATTCAGTGCTTTTTTCCATTCAAAATTATCTAACTCATTACACTGTTTTCCCTTGAAGTGCTGAAGCCTCTCCTGCTGAGTGCTGCCAACATGCTAAGATCTTGGAAGACACACAATTTGTGGATGGGTACAAGCAGTTGGGATTTCAAGAGACTGCTTACGGAGAATTCCTGAACAGGCTTCGAGAAAACCCTAGGCTTATTGCTTCCTGTCTGGTTGCTGGAGAGAAACTCAACCAGGACAACACTCAGAGTGTTATCCACACCGTCTTTACCTCCATCTATGGCAACTGCATCATGCAGGAGGATGAGAGCTATCTCCTCCAGGTTTTACGGTACTTGATTGAATTTGAGCTCAAGGAAAGTGACAACCCCCGGCGGCTCCTGAGAAGAGGCACCTGTGCATTCAGCATTTTATTCAAACTTTTTTCAGAAGGGCTCTTTTCTGCAAAACTCTTCCTCACTGCAACACTGCATGAGCCGATTATGCAGCTGCTAGTTGAAGATGAAGATCACCTAGAAACTGATCAAAACAAACTGATTGAGCGGTTCTCTCCGGCACAGCAGGAAAAACTCTTTGGGGAAAAAGGCACAGAGAGGTTCAGACAGAAAGTCCAAGAGATGGTGGATTCCAATGAGGCCAAGCTCGTAACCCTGGTGAACAAATTCATTGGCTATCTCAAGCAGAACACGTATTGCTTTCCACATAGTTTGAGATGGATTGTGTCCCAAATGTACAAAACACTCTCATGTGTAGACAGGCTGGAGGTTGGGGAGGTGAGAGCAATGTGCACGGATCTTCTTCTAGCCTGCTTAATTTGTCCAGCAGTTGTCAACCCAGAGCAGTATGGAATCATTTCTGATGCCCCGATAAATGAAGTGGCAAGATTTAACCTGATGCAGGTATGATTTTTTTTCTTTTCTTTTCTTTTCTTTTTATCGCTCTAAAGAAATGAGGTGTTCTATCAGATCTTCTGAGTCTCTGCACTTTCTGATGCCACTGCTGTGTGGTAGTTCTGCTGTTCCTGCTGGGTCTGATAAGATGACAAATGCCAGTATTGATATCTCTGCCATGACGGTATGCCTCTTCAGGAAATGTAAAGCTATTTTTTATAAAGTTGATTTCTTCTAAAAGGCACTTATTGATGATGTAATGCAGCAGGCATACAGACAGTTATTTGTGTCACACAGGTATTGTAACAGGATTTACATTTGGTGGCACATTAAAAAGAACTGTAATCAAAGGAGTGTGCTTTTCAACATGTTAGTGAAATGCAAACACCCTTTTCAGATTAACGGAGGTTCAGCCTTCATTTCTGCTATATTTAGTATGAAGAATCAGAGCATTATTCTCCAGCATGTATTTGAATCACATGAAAGTAACGCTTAGCTCAACATGCAGCATTCAAGCAAGTGTGTGTGATGACTTTGTTAAATCTTTCTTCTAAGGCACCATTATACAGTTCTCACTGAATAGAAAATGGAACTTTACAAACAAAGCAATCCTTGATTTGGGAAAGCAAAAAAGTCCCAAACCTTCTTAGTAGTTGAAACGCTGTTCAGGTTTAGATAACTGCAAAAGCTTTTTGTGAAACTTCCCATTCAGACCGTTGACTCTGGACTGAGAATGTGAGAGGAATTGCTACCCAAAAAGTAATATGTAGAAATCTTTATGTGCACTGAAAATAGAGTGCTTTCTTGCCTGATACTTGCATTGTAATTCTACCATCGTGGTGTGTATTGCTTTCACTTCAGTGTTTGCCCTAATTGTTCTTCCCCTCTCAGGTTGGGAGACTTCTGCAGCAGTTGGCAATGACAGGCTCCGAAGAGGGAGATCCACGCATGAAAAGCAACCTTGGTAAATTTGACAAAGTAAGACTCAAACTACAAAATATTACTCGTGTCTTTGATGCTCTGCCCTTTTATAGCCCCACTCATCTGAGGAACTCAAAGCACTTTACAGGTAATCAAGCGGGTCTGAAGTGGGGAAGTGTTATGCCCGCTATATAGATCAGTAACCCAGGGCACAGGTTTAAGGAAGCTCTTTAAGACACACCTGGTTAGTGGCAGAGCTGGGAACAGTATCTAGAGCACCAGCTCGCCGTCGGGAATCTTGACTTCTAGACACGTTTCCTTGCTACTTGAGCAAGTGCTAAAAAACAGCAGCCTACAGTCCTTTTGGAAGTGGAGATATCAAGTGACTTACCCTGCTAAATCCAGGTTCACTTAATCTGAGTTGAAGAGGCACAACTCACTTCAGATCTAGTCTTTATCATTAAAAGTATGTTGAGGACTGTGACTTATTCCTGAGATGAGTGTCTGCCTGTTTGTTTTCCATAGCTCTCATGCTTGGTTAAACGGTTTGTTTTTTTGTTAGTGTGAAAGATCCACAGTCTGGGGAACCTGAGTATAGCAGGGAAATGGTAACACTAACTGTGTAATGTGTTGTCAAATCCACAAAACAAACCAACTACAAAGAAATGTTGTTTTTCCTCTTATTTCTTTCAGTCTGTCTTGCTACTGGTAGCAATTCTAAGCAAACATGCAGTGAGGTGCGCATTTTCAAATGACTCTGCTTGCCCCTTTTTTCTTTTTGTTTGTAAGCTTTGCTCAATAAGTATCTGAGGTGAAGGCCGATTTAAAGGGGTGCTTGTTACTGGGAAGTGGTTTAAGACCGTCCATGGGATGCCAGAAATGATAAGATAGTGTAAACAGTAAGGAATTCAAGCTCTGCTTAGTAAGAGATGCTTTCAGATGTAGATAAGGAGCAAAGGGAGCTCTAAGTTTGGTTGCGTGGTTTTATGCTTCTGTGGCTTAAAAGATATTCAGTAATGTCATGTTTAGCTGTGTAGGCATACAAAAGAGAAGCAAAACTGATGTCCCCTTATAAATGATACACATGCCTCTCTCTTGCTTTAACTTGCATTCTTCAGTAGTTTTAAATTGTGAAGCCATTCACAAAGGCAGTGTCTTTCCATGCAGAGCTGTGTTGCTGCTTTCCTGGATGTCGTGATTGATGGGCGCGCAGTGGAAACCCCTCCTATGTCCTCAGTTAACCTTCTGGAAGGGCTGAGCCGTACTGTGATTTATGTGACATACAGCCAACTTACTACTCTGGTAATGCACTCATTCAACGGGTAACTTTTTTGCCCTGCACATACGTGCTTAAGGGATAAATCAGTAGGTGTGATAAGTTATGTAGTTTTCCTCCCCAGTTTTTACCGACACTCCTCACTTTTGCAGGTGGGTTTTATGAGGAATGTGATGTTGAGTGATCAGCTGAGGGAAGATCGGATGGCTCTGGAAAACTTGTTGGCAAACTTACCCCAGAACAAACCAGGAAAAAGCAGCAGCCTTGAAATGACTCCTTACAGTACCCCACAACTGTCTCCGGCAACCACTCCAGCCAACAAAAAAAACAGACTGCCTATAGGTGAGAAGGTTTGCAAAATTCTTGGGGCAGGGGGGAGAGAGGGGTTTTTGCATTAGACTTCCTGCTCCCTGGATAGGTTTTCTCTAGCACTGCTTCACTCCGAGATGCTCTTGGCATATTTCTTTGCAACTTCTCCATTTGATATGTAACTATAGGTGTTGTAGAGTCAGACTGAACATAAGGACAACACTTTTGGTGGGTCACTCTTGAGCAGGCCCCGTAGGCCACTTGTACACTTATACACTTATATGTTTACAATGTTTTCTCGTACCTTGTTATAGTCAAGTCCTTCCACCAAAGAATTTTGTGTTTATCTTTGATAAACATGGTATAAAGAAAAGAAGCGAGAAGCAGAGATGAAGGGGAATCAGGTACAAGCAGCAAAAAGTATGGGTAGTTTTTTTTTTGAGCTGAGCTAAAGCAAGGGCAGAAGGTGAGGAGGCAACACTTGGAGAAGGCAGCTGATAGAAACGGGTTTTGGTTAAAGACAGAAAGGGAAGGCAGGCAGTGTCATCCTAGGTGCACAGAGCAATAAGGCAACTAGAGTGAGCAGGTGATTGGGCACGATGAGCTGCAGTGGAGTTGACAAGTGAAATGTAGGCAGGGGCAGTGCCCCGTGAATGCTGGCAAGAAAGTGAACACACATTCAGGGTCTTAGGTGGCAAGAAGCAGAGGCTGGGAAGGATGTGGTCAGGACAAGAGGACCGATGGTGCTCACAGTGCTCCTTATGCCTTGTAGAGTGGGGAGAGAGGCTGAGGAAGGAGACGCTACAGGCCTGGTGAGACACCTGTGGTGAGGACCGGGGCTGGCTTTAGGCATTCTAGATCCGTCAGGAATGAGCACAGAATTTGACAAGCTGCCTGGAATGGGAGGAAGGGAGACGACTTTCAGTGGTGGTGAGGATAACGCGCTTGGAAACAAGGGGAGCGGAGTCTTCAGTGTGTAGGGGAGCAGCAGGAGATTTGTGAGAAGCTGCCGGAAGAGGGGAAAAGATGGGAGTTTGTGCCGAGCAAGCTAAATTCAGGTGAGGAGAAGCCTATTTGACATTGCTGTGGGGAAAATGATGGGAGCCACAGAGAGCGTGGACAGTCAGGGCAGGACAGACAGGGCAGAACTTTGGGAACATCAACATGGAGGAGGGGGGGGTGCATGCTTTCTGCGGTAAGTGTGCCCACCAGTGAGCCGTGGTGCATTCTTCACAGAGGCTGCAATTTCAGGACTGTGATTCTTTGCAGCTCAGTGGTATCCCTTCCCAAAATGTGACTCTTCCCTCTGGATCCAAAAATACTGCACTTGGCTTTAGTGTGTGCTATGTGACTCTGACTTGGGACATAGCATTTAGTATTAATGTGTAACACTGGAGAAGAATAGAACATTTGAAGTAGTAAAGTGAAGCTGGCAATCACGAAAGCCTGCCATTGGTGTCCCATCTTACCTCTAGCTCCTCATGCCACTTTTGAACTGTTCTAGGTTTACACTACCAGAGTGATGGCTTGCTTGCATTTATTTTACAGCTGAAAATATTTCTGTTCAAAAACCTGATCTCTGTTTCGTTTTAATGCTGTCGGAACCCAGGACAACAGTTGGCAGCCATGACTGCCTGGGACACTTCTGCCACCAATCTCTCAGCTCACATAACGCTAGTCACCCCGTTTGGTGGGTACTGCCCTCTTTCCC